TTTTTATAGTTGGTGAGTATATTTTTACTAACTGAAGTCTCTGGCTCACATCGTTCACTCTGTATGGACAGCCCCCAAGTTGTGATGGTTTGTGATTCTTCTCACTTTCCAGTGGTGCAAACGCAGCACACCTTCAGTAGCAACCACACTTAGAGTTTTGAATTTTGGTCTTTTCCTGGGCTATGTCCTGTGACACAATACCCTCATCAGTGCCCCACTGCAGGCAAGTGAGGCTTCAGAGCACCTCTTAGGTAGGCTACGCGGAGTCGTGGTGCTCGGCAGGTTGGGAGTATTCAATTCATTCTTTTTGTACATTGAGGATTCGTTTGCTAACATTTTGTTGAAGATTTTGCATCTATGTTCATACGAGATGTTGGTTTTTTGTTTTCCTTTCTTGTAATGTTTGTATCTGGTTTTGGAATTGGGATGATACTGGCCTCATTGAATGAGTTGGGAGTGTTCTGGAAGAAATCATGGGGAACTAGTATCACTTCTTCCTCAAATGTTTGATATAATTCATCCATGAACTTATTTGGGCCTGGTGATTTCTTCTTTGGAAGATTATGAATTATTGATTCAAGTTCTTTTATGAAGAATGTATGGTCCCACTCAGATCATCTGATTCTTCTTTAATGAATTTGGTAGATTGGTCTTTCAAGGAGTAGGTCCATTTCATCCAAGTTATCCAACTTGTGGACAGAGAGTTGTTCATAATATTCCTTTGTTGTTCTTTCCATGTCCCTGGGCTCAGTGGCAATGGCCTCTCTCTCCTGTCTGCCTGCAATCTTTTGTGTCTTCTCTTTTTTTCCTGGTTGGCTTACTAGAGGTTTGTTGATTTTATTGATCCTTCTAAAGAGTCACCTTTTGGAGTCTGTGTTGGTCAGCTTTCCACTACTGTAACAAAATACCTGAGATAATCACCTTACAGAAGAAAGGTATATTTGGGCACCTGTTTTCAGAGATTTCAGTCCATACTGCTTGGCCTGCTGCTCTGGGTCTAGGGCAGCAAGGTGCATCATGTCGGAGGAGGCCCATTCACCCCATGATAGCCAGGAAGCAAAAGGAGAGGAAGAAGCTAGGGTCCGAAGATTCCCTCCAAAGGCACGTCCCCAATCACCTAACTTCTTCCCACTAAGCCCCACCTCTTAAAGGCTCCACCATCTCACAGTAGGAGCACAGGCTGAGACCAAGCCTTCCACATGTGTGCATTTCGGAGACATTCAAATCCAAACTATACAAGTCTCTTTTATTGTTATCTATACTTTTTTCCTTTTTCAATTTCTCTCATTTTTGCTCTAATTTTTATTTATGTTCTGTTTGTATTAGGCTTGTTGCCTTTCTATCTCTGGTTTCCCACGGTGGAAGCCTTGATTGTTTATTTGAGATCTTTCTTCACACCACCCATGCATTCAACACCACCCATGCCCAGCTCTCCCTGCAGCCACAAATGTTGGTTTTCATTTTCATTTAGTTAAGATCATTTTTCACTGGTCTTGGGACTTCTTTTATGACTCATGTGGTATTTAGCTATTTAGAAATAAATTGTTTAATCTTCAGATATTTGGGGATTTTCCAGCAATCTTTTTCTTCCTGATTTCTAGTTTAATTCCACTGTGGTCTGAGAGCAGAGTCAGCATACTTTCTATTCTTTTAAATATGTTGAGATGTGTTTTAGGATCCAGAACGTGGTGTATCTTGGTGAATGATTGTCCTATATGAACTTGAAAAGAATGTGTGTCTTGTTGTTGTTGGCTTACATATTCTATAAACACCAATTAGATCTGGTTGATTGCTGGTGCCATGCAGTTCATCTTGTGGCCTTACTCATTTTCTGCCTGCTGGGTCCATCTGTTATTGGCAGAGAAGGAATGACATCTCAACTACCACAAGGGATGTTCTGTCTCTCCTTGCAGTTTATTGGGTTTTGCCTCTTGTATTTTTTAACTGTTATTAGGTGCATACATGTTTAGGGTTGTTACGTCTTCTCAGAGAATGGACCCTTTTATCATTTTTTAATGCCTCTCTACATCCAATAGCTCTTCTTCTTCTGAAGTCAGATGTGTCTGCAATGAATTTAGCTACTCCAGCTTTCTTTGGTGTCTTTGTATTTGGAGTGTTAAAGTGTTTGATGGAAACTTGTCAATAGACTTCAATTTAAGAAAACTGGGCACAAACCAATCTTGTCAAGTTGGTGGCCCCACATAAATCATTCTATGACTCAGTTTCCTCCTCCACAAAATGGGGACTGTCTGGATTGTGAGGATGAAATGGGACACTGTGGTAAGAAAGCTGGCCAGTTTCCTGGCATGTAAAGTTTAATATGTTAGAATGCTCCTCTGTCACGTGCATCAATATGTTTTATTAGTAAAATAAACTGTTGGTACTTATGATGGCATTTTAGATTTCTGAGTGCATGTACTTTTTAATGAAACCTGATGGGGATATCCTGAAAAGATGAAGAAGGTGAACTTAGAAAATGATTGCAAAGTCTCAGGCTGGAGTGGATGTCCTGTAGGCTGTGTCCTTAAAAGACAAAGACATTCAGGCATGTGGTACGTGGATGGGGTCCCAGCTACCCAGAGACTGAGATGGAAGGATCACCTGAGCTTAGGGTCAATCTGGGCAACATAGTGAGGTACCATCATTAAAAAAAAAAAAAATTAAGAAAAGATGAGGAAGGAAGAAAGGAAATAAATAGAATAGAAAAGAAAAGAAATGTGTTTCCTTACCTCCCTGCAGGGCTCGAGGCCAGGGGAAGGTGCTATTGCCCTGGATGATGAGCTCGGCTCACTCTTCTTATTAAAGCAGAATTAAGTTGGGTACAGTGGTGCATGCCTGTAATCCCAGCAACTCAGGAGGCCAAGGCAGGAGGATTGCAAGTTCAAAGCCAACCTCAGCAACTTAGCCAGGCCCTAAGAGACCTAGCAAGACCCTATCTCAAAATAAAAAATAAAAAGGGCTGGGGATATGACTCGGTGGTTAAGCATCCTTGAGTTCAATCAGATTTTTTAAAAAATGAAATTGAGAGGTGCTTCTGTCCCCCACCACCAGCTCATAGATGCACTGGCCGGGAGCCCCTTCCTTTGGGGACCATAGTCACACCTGGCCCCCTGTTGAAAAGTAGATCATCTTTGGTTAGATAAACTCTGAGTAGCTTCTAAGATGCAAAGGGAATAACTAATCACATGGGAAAATGCTTCATTGCATGTCTGAGTTTTGAAAGGCAGTTGTATGTGTTAAGTGATTAATTTTGTTTTAATTTTAAAAGAATGTCAACATAGGAAAAAAACCCAGAAGGATGTGAGCCACAGTATTAACAGCGGCTGCCTCTGGGGGATGGGATTACAAGAGATTTTAATATCCTTTTACTGCTTTTCTCTATTTCTCATTTTCTGCAATAAGAAATGTTATTTTTTGAATGAACAAAACAATGAACAGCAATACCCCCTCAGCTATGTGACCCTCTCCATGGACCTGGCTGGACAGCTCTCACTCGCCACTGGCCTTTGTGGTTTGTGTCCAGGCGGTTTCTGTTTCCTGCCCAGCCTTTCCCTCCCACCCTACACCAGCCGGTGCAGAGTCAAGGGAACAGGAACAGGAATGGCCACCTCCCTGGCCAAACATTTACCCACTGAGACTACCCAGCTTCCTTTTGCCTTTTTCTGACTCTCCACCCAACAACTTGGTGCCTGTTCCCAGGTCTGCAGTCAGAGAGCACATCCCAGCTCCAACACACTCTAGCTATGTGGCCTTAGGAAAATCACTTACCCTCTCTGATCCTCAGCATCCTTTAACAATGAGGATTGTGAGCGGAGGGTATAGCTCCATGTAGAGTACTTGCTTAGCATGTGCCAGGCCCAGGATTCAGTGCCCAGTACCAAAAAATAAATAAAACAATGTGGTGACAATCCACAGTGACTTGGGTGACACATTCTGGCCTACAGTGCGCACTAGGGCCATGTCCGTCTCTGCTTTCAGTCGGCAGACATCGACAACCACCACGCGCTCATTGAGTTCAACGAGGACGAGGGCAGTTTCGTTCTTCAGGACTTCAATTCCCGCAACGGCACGTTCGTCAACGAGTGTCACATCCAGAACGTGGCTGTGAAGCTCATCCCCGGGGACATCCTGAGATTTGGGTCCATGGGACTGACCTACGAGCTGGTCATTGAGAATCCACCCCAGGTGAGCCCAGGCCGCTGCAGGCGGGATGCCGAGCCACGTCGGGGCAGGGGGACAGGGTGCCCAGCTGTGCCAGGGGCACAGGGTGCCCGAGATGACATGCTGAGCCATGACGGGGCAGGGTCAGCACGAGGTGCCCAGCAGTGCGCTGCAGGGGACGATGTGCCGAGCTCGCCACGTCCTGCCGTGTCGCCTGCCGTCGGGACAGCCCAGGGTGCAGCTCTGCGGAGGGCGCCCCTCTTTGCAGGCTGCGCACCGCCAGCTGCGAAAGCCCCGGCCGCGGGTCTGGGGGAGCAGCGCCCCGATATGGTGGGGTGTGGCCTTCGTGAAACTCCGCGTCCCAGCTGGGAACAGCCACTGTCGGGCCCGGCAGAAACGCGCCCGGGCTCAGGGCCCAGACCTGGGTCTCAAGTGAAATCAACCCATAAAATCTGGTCACCAGGAGCCCGGGGCCCACCAGGGAGGCGCGCAGGGGCCGACGAGGTCACGGCCTTGGCCGCGGATCCCCGCCCTGCCACCCCACTCCCTGCGGGCTCCTGAGCAGCCCGGGACCCTGGACGGCCGTCTTGGCATCCACAGGGTGGGGCCGTGACCGCCCTGGGCTCACCTGAAGGTCCAATGAGCCCCCGTTACGATTGTGAAACTCACAGCCTGCGGCGCCTCGGTGGCACCCGTCGTCTGGTCCCGGGAGGTGGGTGTTGGCCTCACTCCCACCCCAACTCCGCTGCAGGGACTGAGACCCCCAAGGCTTAGACCCTTCCTAGGACAAGACCAAGAATAATAAATGTAGAGACTCCAGCCAGCGGCCTGGGGCTGGGGTCTCCCAGAGCCCTGTGAAAGCTGGCCCCAGGGATCGCCCTCCGCGACCCGCAGGCGCCTGACCAGGACCCCACCACCGGGCTCCCACTGGGCTTTGGAACCTTGGGACAGGCCGCTCCTGCTCTCTCCTTCCCCTGGCACCAACGCTAACACGTTTGCTCAGGGAAAGCTCTGGGTCCTCTGGCAGCACTGCCAGGCCTCCCGACCCAGAGGGTGCTGTCCTGATCAGCGGTTCTCAGGAGGCCACCTAGGTCCCCCATGTCAGAACCACGTGACAGCAGAGCAGCAGTGCAGATCTCTGAGCTCCCCCAGGCCCAAGGACTCATGCTTAGGGTTGCCAGAAAAAAATGCAGGACACCTAGTTAAATTTTAGTTTATATTAAAAAAATAGTTTTAGTTATAAGTATGTCCCCAATATGGCATGGGATAAACTTATGCTAAAAATTTATTCAGTTTTTACAGAAACTCAGTTTGAACTGGACACCCATATTTTATTTATTCATATTTCCTCATTTATTTATTTGTGCTCCAGCTAACAGCCCCACAGCACTCCTGGAAGCTGCATGCTCACCAGCTCCTTGGAGAGCCTGCTGTGCCCCAACAGAAGGGAAGCCAATACAGAATATTTTGTATGTAGCGTTTGTGGGCTCTTTTAGGGATGAAAGAAAATGGAATTTCTGATCCAAGTCTGTGAAGTCTGAGGCAGTGTTTCCTTAATGAGTCTGATTACAAGAATTTTTCAGAAATTTCCAGTAAAATTATAGGTTCCTGGGCCCCCTCCTTAGGAAATTCTGATTTTTGTGACTTGCCAGGCAGAGAGGAGAGGACATACAATCAATATCTGTGTTTCTTTCTTATCTTACGAAAATATTTATTGGAATATTACTTATAGTAGCATAAAATTTGAGACCTCAGTGCCCATAAGGGGCGTTGTCTGATGAACTAGGAGAGACCCATTACCGTGCGACACTGGGCTACCTTTTTTTTTTTTTTGTACCAGGGATAAAACTCAGGGGCACTCGACCACTGAGCCCCATCCCCAGCCCTATTTTGTGTTTTATTAAGAGACAGGGTCCCACTGAGCTGCTTAGCGCCTTGCTGTTGCTGTCGCAATCCTGCTGCCTCAGCCTCCTGGGCCACTGGGATTGCAGGCATGTGCTGCCTTTTAAAGACCCAGCTTTGCTGCGGGGTGACTGGCGTATCCAGCTGCCTGTGGGTAAAGTGCCTACCGTGGTGGGCTTTGACACGTGGCCATCACCACGCCAAGCCAGCAAGCTGCATAGCCTCAAACAGGCCCGTGGCTCCCCGGCGGGCTCCCGTGGCTGCACTGAAGCTCACGTGGTGTGACACACACGTCCCCCATTTCAAATGTGCACCTTGCAAACTCTAGTGAATCGATGAGCCGGCCGCCATTGCAGGGTCTGTTTCCAGCACGATTCCATCACCCACCCCCAGAGAAACCTCCAACACTCACCTGTGTCCGTCTGGTTCTGATCTTTTCCCTTCTGAAGCTGGGGTGGGATCCACGCAGCATGAGGTCTGCCACCTCGCCATGCTTACATGAGGACGTTGGTGGCATGAGGTGCCCATCTCCACCGCTGCCCTGCTTCATCTTGTAGAACCCAAACTGTCCCCGTGGAAGAGTGAGGCGCCTCGGCCCTCACCCAGCCCAGGCAGCGCTGCTCTGCTTCCTGCCTCTATGAATCTCTAGGCACCGTGTGGCTGGCCTCGGGCGGGACCTGTCCCCCTGGGAGCCTCCCTAGGTTCTGGCTGAAGGGGGTCCCGTGCCGGCTGCCACTCCTGTGGATTCTGTCCCGCTGGCCTGGTGACCCTGCCTGTGGGCTGTTTATCTTTAAGTACATGGAGAGTGACTCTCATCAAATATTTTGGGTCGGTTTTTCCTGAGAAATCCAGAGCCAGCTGGACGCCCGCTCACTCCTGTTCCCATCCGTCTTTTGGGCCAGGAGAGGGCGCTCTCTCCCCAGGTGGAGTTTTCCAGAACTCCTCTGGAAGACAGCGGTCCTAATATCACAAGGGCAACTGTTCTTTTCCTGACAAAGCGTTCCCAGGGGAAAGGTCGCTACTCCGGGCTTGGTGCCGTGACCCAGAGAGGTGGTGACAGGCTTGTTTTTAGGGAGCAGGAGTCGGGAAGAAGTTAGGGACCTGAGTGTTTGCAACCATATAGCAACGGGGCAGCTGTCCTGCAGACCAAGTCCAGCGGCCCCGTCTAGCCCCATCCCTGCTCTCAACAGCTACGGGGTCAAGGTCAAGGCAAGGTGCCTCACTCCTCAAAGCCACACTCTCCACTCTGTGAAGCTGGATCTAATAGTTGCCGCCACCCGGGTTCCTGTGGAATTCAGTGGGGCGCTGTATGCAAATTGTTCAGCCAGTGACCAAGTGACCATGCCTCCTTCTGAGACCTCCCCAACTACCAGGTGCATTTGCAAGTGACAAACCCATGGGAGGACACACAGGATGGAGAATCAGGACGAGCTCTTGGCTGTCAAAGCACATGGGCACCAGGAAGCTCCGCGAGAATCCAAGTCCCCGCTCTCGCCACCATCGTAGTCCCTCACCACGTGGGCCTCCATGGTCTCCACTCACGCTGTGGTCTAGGCAGACAGCGCCCTGGGGTTGTGCAGGACATGACCTGCAGGCCCCAGCCAGGCCTGGAGCAGCCACTGAGTGACAGTTTCCGCCCACAAATCAGGAGACTGAAACAAAGCCGGTCAGGGGCGGCTGCCACGGTGGTTGTTGCTGCTTCTTGTTGTTGTGTGTCTGTGTTGTCTGTGTGTCTGTGTCTGTGTGTGTGTCTGTGTCTCTGTGTGTGTCTATGTGTCTGTGTGTTTATATTGTCTCTGTGTGTCTGTGGGTCTGTGTTGTCTCTTGTGTCTGTGTGTCTGTCTCTGTGTGTGTACGTGTGTCTGTGTTGTCTCTCTCTGTGTCTGTGTGTGTGTCTGTGTCTGTGTGTCTATGTGTGTGTCTGTGTGTCTGTATATGTGTGTTGTCTATGTGTGTCTGTGTCTGTGTGTCTGTTGTCTTTGTGTGTGCCTGTGTGTGTCTGTGTGTGTCTGTGTGTCTATGTATGTGTATCTGTGCTGTCTGTGTGTCTGTCTGTGTCTGTGTGTGGTCTTTGTGTCTGTGAGTGTGTGTGTGTTGTCTGTTTGTGTGTCTCTGTGTGTCAGGGGCCCAGGAAGGCAGCTGTGAGCCAGGGCTGCCCTGTCACCAGCCATCCTGTCCTCCACAGCAGCGGGCCAAGGAAACACTCACCAGAACACAGGAATTTTGTCTTTGTTCTGAAATGTGACAAATCTAAATGGAACCACACAGAGAGAGAGGAACCCAGGACACATAGAGCTGGCTCAGGAAGAGGCGACCTGCTTTCCTCTCCCCATGGACAGCTCCTCTAGCCTGACCCGGGAGTGGGCTCTGGGCTGACCCTGACTGAGGGGTCAGCTCCCATGTCTGGCCTTCCCCTGGCCTGCTCTGCCCTGTCCAGCCAGACTCCCTGGTGACTTCTGGAAGCGTCCTTCACTCTGGCGACCCCCGGCATCCTGCCCCCACTGGCCAGCAGTCCCTGCTGCTCTCTGCTTCTTGGGGAAGGACACCGTCAAAAGTGAGGGCTTTGATGGGCCAAGTTCACCTTCCAGTACGACCTGAGTTTCAGTTTCCGGTTTCTACACAGTCGTCAAAGGTGTCCTTTCCCCCTACAGAATTCTTGCAGAGGCCATTGGGACCGTCCCATCCTGGGTAAGCTAAGTCCCAAAGAGGTGCCACACTTTCCCAAGGTGATGTGTCTGTCGGTGACGGCCAGAATGGAGATCAAGGGACAGATCTCGTGAGTCCCAGTCTAGGAGGGTTTCCCAGGAGCGCAGAGATCCCAGGGCCGAGGGCGCTCAGGCCACAGTGCTCCCTGCAGCCCCAGGCGGCCTGCGGCTTCCCCTGCTGCTGGGGACGACTTAGTGGGTGAAAACAGGGCCACCAAGGAGGGAGGAAAAGGTAGCGTGGGCTCTGGCTTCCCCCTCGACCCCATTTACCAGGAATCACCCCCATTACCCCAGCCCCGCGGCAGGCCACCCCCTGTCCCTTCCCGTTTCTTCCTGGAGGACGCAGCTGCCTGGTGGCTGTGTGTCACGAGCAGTTCCTGGGCACCAGGACGCACCCTGAGCTCGCTAGGCGCCACC